TATGTGTTGCTGAGTGTTGTTCCATTGATACCTGCTGTGTGAGGAGGTCTAAGCTTTGGGATGTGTGAATCTTTTTCCCGTTGAGCAGGACTGTTTTCATCTGTTTGGAGTTCATGTTTAGTTCTTCCAGATCACCATGTAAACAGACGGAGGGGCACAGCGGGATGTTGTGGTCGAGGGTTTGCGATGTTTTGGTAGTTTTTTTTCTTTCCAGAAGTTGTGTGTTGGTGGGAGACCAGGATGTGTTAACGTGCTCATCAGTGATGTGTGCAGAGTCAGTCAGTCCCGTGGTGTGTGAGGACTGTAGTATTTTAAGTTGTTGGTGTTGTTAGTGCAGACTCTATTCTTGGACTGTCTGTGTGCATGTTGAAGTCTTTTTGCTGTTTGTTGATTGGAGTGTGCGGTGCGTTGTCATCAGAGGGTATTCAGAGTGTTTTTGGTGTTTTTGCAGTTTTATTGATGCTGTCCTGCAGTGATGGTTGTGAGAGCTGAGTGTTGTTGATACTTTGCTTTGGTGGAGTGTTTGAGTTGGTTATATTGGAGAAACTGTTTCCTGTCAATGATTGTGATCAAACGTGCGACACAGGCGTGCGACGTGTTTTCTATTTGCAGTGAAGTCGGGGTAAGTCCATATGGGTGTTTGAGGTTTAGTGTTTTTGTCTTGTGTAGCAGCTCTGTGAGTTTGTTAGATTAACGTGTTTGTTACAACTGCTGCTTTTGGTTTATCGTAGAGTTTCGATCCGTCGGATAAACGACGGCCCACAGCCGTGTTTCTCCAGTGTTTTCAGGACAAATGTCCAGTTTAGATGGTCAGAGGCTTTTTCTGCATCCAGTGAGAGGTTGGTTGTTATGGTTACTGTGGTGAGACAGATGTGTGAGGCTGGAAAGTCTACTATTTGAAGGATGTTTGCCTTTAATGAATCCTGCTGAGTGAGAGATAACGATTGAACAGGCTGTCAGAGCACTGCTGATGTTTGGGTGTCTGTGACTGCAGCAGTGAACTTTGTTTGTTTTCAGCTGTATTTATGTGACGTCCATCGAACCAGAACAGATTTTCACATGTCCCAGTCACCGGCTTTATTTGGTTTGTTCATGAAACAGAAATGAACATGTAAATATTTCACTTGTCCAGAGTGCTGTTTCCTCACTGATGGATCTGATTTCTGTTATTTTTGTGCTTTTTAAAGGAAGATTACTGTTGTTGAGACTTTGTTCAACGAGTATCACAGTAAGTGAGGATGACTCTGCATCTCTCTTTCTTCACAGTACTCCTTCATGATACCCATCCAGCTGACAGACCCTGGTTTGAGGTGAGTGGGACGACTTTATGGTCAGAGCGGTTACTGCGGGGTCAGAGGTCACTGAATCTGTTCTAATGCATTTGCTGTCTAACAGCAGATGTGACACAAAGTATCCAAGTCTGAGTCTTTCTCTGTAGACTTAAGTCTGATGTGTATTCGTTACATTTTCCACAGCTAATGTAGAAAGCTGGTGAACATTGTTCAGAGTCTTGGTTTGCATCCAGCTCTGCTGTGTTACGCTCTCATTCAGCAGCTGCTGCACAGTTTGTCCCGCTGGTTTCTGTTTGTGAATCTTCTCCTGTTTCTGCTGTCCTCCCTCTGCAGCAACTACTGTAAGAAAGAGTCGCTGCCTGTCCATATTCTATATGTGAACCTACAGTAAGTATGACATCCTCCTGTTTTTGTTTCAGCTCGTATCTTCTTCAGTTTGTGCAGAAAACACAATAAAGAAGTTTTAAAGTTAGATGTTAACAAGCTTTTATTAACAGTGTGGTTTAGTCGGTCTTTGCTGTTTTAATTGGTTTTCACATTATTTGAAATCTGAACATTTTAAGCATGAAGAGATTCACAGAAGCTGTTTGATGCAATCACATGACTGTAGCCAGCAGTGATTACCTGAATGTACAACAGCAGCCAGATCAGATGGTCCTGACGGAGCAGTGAGTCTGCTTTGGTCTTCATGAGTGTTTGCTGGTACTTGTGTGTAGGCCATCCTTCTTCT